GTTGGTGGTGATGACATTTCAAAAATTTTTTTTATATATATAAAAAATATATTACACGGGGTTAATGAAAAAAAAAAAAAAAAAATGATTGAATGAAATCAAGCATGATGATTATGAATGTTTGTTTGTTTTTTTTTCTTTTTCAAATTTCTTTAAAAATGAATGAATGAATGAATGGATGATAATAGCACGATACAATTATAAGTATTAAGGGGTAATGATGATGATGGTGAATGAAATGAAATAAAATAAAATTCATCAGTTTTCTTCTTCTTCTTCATTGAATTATCGTACAATTTGTGTGGTGTGTGTGTGTGTGTGTTTATAATACAAGGGACGAAAAAAAAATCTAATAACTATATATTGTGTGTGTGTTGCTGTGGTTGTGGTTATTTTAAATTATTATCATTATTATAAGAGAGAAAAATATATTTCCAAAAAAACAAAATACAAAATACAATGTGAGTAGTTAGTTAGTCATTCATTCATTCTTCTTTATAACATTTCTTCAAAATTGGCCATAATATCGCTTTGACGATTCATATCGATTTGTGATGCAATCTAAAAAATGTAAAAAATAAAAATAAATTCTTTATATTGAAAAAAAATTCTTCATTATGAAAATAGATTTGCTTACAGCTTCACGACGACGACGTTCCTGTTCTCTTTGTCGTTGACGTTCACGTTCAGATACTGAATTCGTAAATGCTGGTGACATTGAATTCGAATCCGATGCCGGTGATGAATTTGTTGATTTACCATGTCTTGCAATATCATCATATGGATTATGTTTACGTGTTGTTCTATTTGTATCCATTTGATTTGTATTCAATTCTTCTTCATCCGGTATAATACTACCACCATGTTGTTTTTCTAAACGTTGTCGTTGTTCTTGTTTACGTTCTTGTGCTACTTTTAATTGTTTTTCACGATTCTCTTTTTCTTTGGCTTGTTTACGAAATTGTTCAAATGTATTTTCAGCTTTTGGTAAGAATCCAGTATTTGAACTATTATTACCACCACCACCACTACTACTACTACCGCCACTTGTTGTTTGTTGTTGACTTGACCAAGATGTTATTGATGATTTTTGTTGTTTAGAATCACCTGTTGGTGCCTAAATTATTCAACAACAAAATTATTACCAATTTAAATCAATGATATGGGGATTTAAATCCTACCGTTTTCTTTGATGATAATCCCGAATTAGACATAGTATTCATTGATGATTTTGAATCTAATGATTTTTTATTATCCATCATTTGATGTGAATTATTGCTTGTTTTCGATTTATAAGCCACTAAATCTATTTTTGAAAAAAGAATATAACATTATTATTTCAAGTTTTAAAATTTCGAAAAAAAATCACACAAACAAACAAACACAAACCTGGATCATTCATACGGCCGCCACTCATTGGTTCTTCCTTTAACTTGGATACTAAAAAAATGGAATGAAAATTAAATTTCTTTTGATCGAAAAAACAAAACAAAACAATTTTACATACTTAACGAAGAACCAGAAGATGATGAATCTCTTGATAAAACATTTGCTATTATTTTGATAGAACAAAAATAATAATAAACACAAAAAAAACAACAACAAAAAAAATGTTGGCTAACCATTTTTAAAATGTGATGCCGTTCCTGATGAAGGTGTATGTTGTTGTTGTTGTTGTTGAGAATTTTGAAATGATGGTGCGGTTAATTGTTGATGAATAGATGATTGATTTGATTTACGAAGTGATGTTTGTGCTACAGAAGCACGATTACCACCACCACCACCACTATTAATGGACGATGATGATGAATTTGATGATGGTGGCTGAGATTGGGATGGAATATTCTTGGCCAATGATGATGATGATGATGATGGTGGTGGTGGATGAAGACCAGGATTCATTGAATCTTGTAAACTGACATTTGATAATGATGGATGAACATGAGATGAAAACGATGATGATGATGATGATGGTGGTACTGGTATATTTGATGAAGAAATTGGTGGTGGTGGAATTCCAGATAAATTTGAACCACCACCGGTTGAATTATTCGGAAATGATGATGTTGATGGTGGTGGCTGTGTATATGGAGAATTTATCGGTAATGTTCCAGGAAATGTTGGTACATGTTGTGGTGCATTATATTGACCACTACCACCACCACCGCCACCACTACCTGTTTGATTATTTTGATTTCCTTTTTTCTTTGGTGATTCTATAAATTTCGAATAATTGAAAAAAAAGAAAAGAATTAACATTAACGGTTTTTGGCATCCAAAAAATCAAATGAGAAAAAAACAGAGTATCGTTGTTTGGATCAAAAAAAAATTCTTTCAAAAATCAAAAAAAAATCTCAAAACTTAGAGTGCAGTACAGACAAACAAACAAACCAGAAAAGAAAAGAAAATCTTTTTTTGCAAAAAAAATAATCAAAATTTTAATTGTTTATCAATCATTCAATTCAAAAAAAAAAAGTTGTTAAGAATTTTTTTGTATATCATTTTTTTTGGTATGTATAATGGATTTGGTTGTTTGTGTGAGTGTGTGTTTAATGTATACATAAAAAATGTTATTAGATAACAGGTAAAAAGATTGATTGATTTGTTTGATGTGATTCGAAAGGCTTTTGATGATTATGGAAAATTGATGATGTTTAAATCTTTTTTACATTGATGTTGTTGTTAAGAAATAATTCTGCAAAACACACATACAATAAACACACACAAGCACAAAAACATAAAACAATTCAATCAAATCACTAAATACAAGGTGGTTGTCGAAACATGGATATGGATATGATTATTATGACAGTGATGAAAATGAAGTTTGTGTATGTGAATGTATGTTATATGTACAAAAAATTATTTGTAGAAAAAAAAAGGAATAATTATTTTCTTGTTTGTTTTTATATAAAGAATATTAGAATTAGAAGACTGAATAGAAAGATAAGAATTGTTTGTTTTTTGTTGAAAACATTATTAAAATAAATAAAAAGTCAAGTGATAATAAATTTAAATAACACAGGGATTGTGTGTGTGAGTGAAATTGATACGAAAAATCCATTATATCAAAGAATATTTTAAATAGAAAAATTAACGAAACATAACTTATATAAACACAAAACAGACACACACTGCACTCCAAAGTATTGAGATTTTTTTAAAATCAAAATATACAAAAAAAAATCTATTATTATCATCATCATCTATAATATATAGCATTTCTATTATCAAATCTTACGTAACGTAAGGTATATGTATGTGTATGTTGTTTATATTGAAGTTATTCATTTTTTTTGGAATCATTCATTTTTTTCCTAACCTGATTCAGAATCAGAACTGTCCGATGATGATGATGATGATGAGCTACTATCGCTGCTTGAATCACTATCACTTGAACTTGATTCACTTAATCTGACACCATTTTCTTCTTCAGTAAATGCATATGGATCTGCTGTTTATGTCCCAAATAAAAAACAAACGAAAGGAAGAATATCATATTGGTGGACCAAATTGAATTAAAAACGACAAAAAAAAAGAAGATAAAATGAAAAAAAAACATTATTAGTTCAAATTGGATAAAATATACAACAAAAATTTCAACAGAAAAAAACAAAATTCAAAAATTCAAACCTTTTTTATTTTTCTTATTAGCCGCCAATTGTCCAGTATCATTTAGTCGTTTTTCAATTTCTTGTTTTTTCTTTTCTGTTTCTTCTTTTGCTTTACTTGGCCTTTTATCTTTGATTGTGGCTATAAGTTTTCAAAACAAAGAAAAGAAAAGTTAAAAAACAATGATTCATTTGATTCAAAAAAAAAAACACATACTATTCTTCTTTTTCAAACAACTAGCAACATAGCTTTCCAATTCACGTAATGTTGATGGTTTTAATGTTTCAAAATCAATTTCAATTTCATCCGGATTTGAATCTCTTAATGTTGGTTCACGTTGTTGTATAATCTGTACAACTTTACCAAGTTTATCACCTAATTATTTAAATTTTTTTTTTTAAAAAAAAAACATCAAAATTATAAATGAGAAAAAAAATTAACAAACAAAAACAATTAAATAAACATACCAGGTAATTTATTAATATCAAGACTAAGCTGTCGTTTTTCATCATAACTCATTGGACGAGCATTATCTTCTTCTTCTGAATCGATTCGATTTAAGGTATTTTGAGGTACAGTAATAGCTTTTGTTGATTTACGATTTGTTTTTGTTGTTGTTTTGGTTTTTTTATTATTAATAACACTATTGGCATCTTTTAAAAATAAAATAAAATTAAAATCATTAGTAATTCCATATGTCAAACTACAAAAAGGATAAGGAAACAAAAAACTTACTTAAAGCATTTGAACCAGTACCAGCACCGATTCCACCGCTTGTACCAAATGTATCATTATTTAAACCACCAAATGTATTGAGAGGAAATTGTGAATTAATCGTTGCCAAATTGGCTTGATTACCACCAACACCACCAACACCAGTATGATGATGATGATGATGATGGTGATGATTATAACCTGAACCAGCATCTAAATCATCATTAACTTCAACTTTAACAACACCACCACTATTATTATTATTATTACCACCGGCACCAATATGACCATGTCCACGTTCTTTACGTTCCGGTTTATTTGTTTTTGATCTATGTTTCTTTTTCCTACTATTTCTTTCAGCTTTTTTAGCTAATTGTTGTACTTGTTCATTTAATTTTTTCAATTGTTCTTGTATTGTTTTCAATGTATTTGTATCATCATCACTATCTGAACTTTCTGAACATGATGATGATGATGAATAATTATTATTATTATTATCATCTGATGTAACACCTTCATCATCACTTTTATCGCTATGATCATCAAAATCGGGCATTTTTGCATATCTCATTTCAAAAACATCCTATAAAAAAGAGAAAATAAAAAATGTCACAAAAGCATGAAACAGTAATTCTTATTTTTTTAGAATCAAAAGAAAAAACTGCGATTAAATTTGATTATGATAATATTCCTCTTCTGTTGATTAAAAATCCATCATTAAAATATCTAGACAGATTTTTTGCCCAGCAGAGGTAAAACACAAACACTAACACACCTGAATTATATATTTTTGATAATAAACAAATTATTTACCTGTAATTTTCTACCCATAGAAACAACAGCATGATCAGGTGAATTATATTTATAACAATTTGTAAATATTAATCTTATATCGGCTGCAAATTCATCCGGTTTATTATATTCACGTGATTCTAATTTTCTTTTTACAGTATTTAAATCCATTGGATGTTTGATTACTTCATAATAATCATGTATTTCTAATTTATCAGCATCGACTGGATCATAAAATGGCCATGCATTATCTTTATGTTTTTTAGATAAAAGCTCTCTTAATATTGTTCCACAATATTTCATTTGTTCAGATAATTTTCCTTTTTTTGCTTTTGATGATTGTTTTTGTTTACCAATATCTGGTAATTCTTTTGATGGTTTTTTTATTGGTCGACCACTTTCTCTTCTTGTTTTCATTGTTGATGGTTTTGTTATATCATCATTAACTATATGTGCAGTAAAATTATTATTATTATTATTATTACCACCCAATGATTCTAATTCTAATGTTGTTGTATCGGCTTTTCTTTTTACACCTTTTTTAGGTGTTTTTGTTGTTGTATTGATTGGGATCACAGTTGATGGGCTAGAATTAAGATATTGAGAATTTGTTGATGGAGGTGGTTGTTGTTGTTGTTGATGTGATGTTTGTAACAATGATGTTGATTGTTGTTGTTGTCCAATAGAATTCATATCAACATTTGAACGTTGAGGTAAATTATTAGATTGTTGTTGTTGTGTAATAATATTTGTAGAATTTTGGCTAAGAATCGAATCCATTTGTGTTGATGTTTTACTACTATTATTACAGGTTAATAATGGTGTTGTTGATGGAACAACAATATTCGATGTTTGACTAATATTACTTTTCTGTGCTACTGTTGTTGTTGTTGTTGGACCACCAATATTATTATTATTTATCTGTCTTGATGATAATTGTTGTTGTTGTTGTGATGGTTGTGCAGAATATAATGATAAAGGCTGCTTTGTTGATATTGGTGTTGATGTTAATTGTGTTGTTGGTATTGTTGTTGAATTTGTATTCATTACTAATACTATTAAAATAAAACAAAACAATGCAACAAAACAAAACAAAAAAATTCCATAAATATTTTCAAAACAAACATATAACACTTACCTCTCGATGATCCTGGTGTTATTGTTTTCGTTTTAGATTTTCCTTTACCTTTTTTTCCTTTTTCTTTTGCATTTTTTACTTGTATTGGTATTTCAATCTCTTCACGTGGCATTTCGGACAATTTTGAATTATATAATTTTTCAATACTATGTCCCATCATAACAACATCATCACCTTCTTTATTATATAGATAACAATTGTTAAACATTAAACGAAAATCATCCATACATTCTTGTGCTGAATAATAATAACAATTTTCTAAACGTTTTTTTATTGTTCCTAAATCCATTGGTCTTCTAATGATTGTATGATAATCAGGTAATTGTAATTTTTCTGCATTTACTGGTTCATGAAATGGCCATGCAAATTGATGTTTCCATATATTTCGATTTATTATACGTAATAAATATTGTAATTGATTTGTATTACGATGTGGTTTATCAAATGGTGGTATTGTAATTGGTTGTACAACACCTTGTATTGGTTGTACATATGGTTCATTCCAATATAATGGTGTACCATCTGGATTGGTCCCAATCAATATTTGTGTTAAATTACCATCATTTCTTGATAATTGTTGTTGTTGTTGATGTTGATGTTGTCCAACTAATGATGTTGTTTGATCATGATGTTGTTGTTGAGATGATAACATTGATGATCCAGGTTGAATTGATGATGGTGGTAAATTTGAAGATTGTTGTTGTTGTTGTGAAACAACAATAGCTGTTGGTGCTGCTGCTGTTGCAGTTGTTGATGAAGACATATTTGATTCGGAATTATTTGATGATGAAAAACTTTGATCTAAAATATCTGCATTACTACTACTGGCATTGCTAATTTTAATAATATCGAAGAAGATGAAAAAAATATGGATGATAATCAAATAGGTAAACAAAAAAAAACAACAAACATACCTGGTATCCATATCAAAACAAACCAAACCAAACAAACAAGAATTTCATAGAATTTCAATGTTATTTTTTTTCCGGGTGTATGTTGTTCAAATCAATTCGACGATTGTACACCAAAACAAAACACCGACACATCACATCACTCAAACACGAAATCGAATTTTTTTTCAAACAAAAGTTTTTTCTTTCTTTCTTTTTTTGGTTAAATCCAAAATTTAATTTTAAAAATTTTAACAAAAAAAATTCAAAATAATAATAAACAAACGAAAACAAAAAAAAAGAAAATGGCGCGTTATAATGTGAGAAAGAGAAAGAGTGGTGTGTTTGTTTGTTGTTGATCACATCAAATTACCTCGTAAAACAACCACACACACATAAAAAAACGAGTCATCAAGAATCATTAAGAGAAAACTGACGCCATCTTTTGGCCAGAATATTCAACCAATCAAGTAATGGCATGTATTTTATTTTATTTGTTTGGATGATGGAAAATGGATGGTGTTATCGAATTAGGAAATATTATTATTTTTTTTAAGAAAAACAAAATTAAAGATGTTTGCAAAAAGTAGAATTGATATTTTTGAATTTAAGAATTCAAAATAATGGAATTCACACCATCATCCATCACACAAACATACAAACACACATCATCCAACAATAGAATTCAAAGAATAGATGAGATGTGTTTGTCCGTTGTTGTTGTTTTGGTTGGTGATGATTGTTTTCAAACAATAATAAAATATATTTGAAAACTTTTACACAACACAAATGGTCACATTACACCAAAAAAAAACAAGCGTCAAGTTAACAAAACCATGATGATATTTGATACTTGATACAAACACACACTATACACCATACACAACCATACATAAGATAATCAGGAAATTACGTTTGTTGTTGTTGTTGTTATTGTTGTTTCGAAATTCATTCGATATAATTGGATTTTGATTTAAGAATTTGATTTTTTTTTTGTTTTTGATGTTTTGAAACAGAATAATAATGATGGTCAGGTCAAACACACATAACCAAACAGGCAAAACATATACAGAATTAATATAAATAAAGTGAGCGCGAACAGAGCAAACAGAGAGAGAGAGAAAGAGAGCCAGGCAGGCGAGTCAGCGATTCGTCGCTCATTTTTTCGCTGCTCACAAAACACACACCATTCAATGATGGCTGTCTAAACAAAAAAAAAAAAAAAAAAAGGTAGTAGCATTTATCATTGATACAATCAAACATATGTCGATATCGAGATGGACAGACATTGACCAATCAGATATATGATTTTTACTGCCATCTTTTGTTAATGAAATGTATTCAAAAATTTCCCTGTAAAGAATATGATATAAAAGTGGGTGTGTCTGCGCGGGTAATCAACATTCTTATCATTCGATTCATCAAATTATCAACATTATAATATGTATACCACTACCATTTTGATATTTTTTTTTCCAACGAATTTCGATACCGGTCATAAACAACGTAAAAAAATTCTTGATTTTTTTTCTTCAAATTTTATTTATAAAATTTTAAAAATATCAAAATTATTTTTTTTTGGAATAGAATTATCAAACGAAAAGGGAAAAAACAAAACCATGTTTTCAAAGATTATTGCAGATAACCACTGTTTGAAATGAAAAATAAACATCAGATTCAGAATTTCAGCAGAAAAAAAAGGATAACTTACGGCAATTTCATACGCATAAATACCCAAGTAGTAAAAAATGATACCAATATTAATGAAAAACTAATCGAAATTAAAAATATACGATTTAATTTACGTGTAGTTGGTTGATGTGTTTTATCCAAAATAATAAAACCAATCGAACCTAATGTAAAAAGCATTGATGATGCTAAACCTTCCATAATATATTGACCATTAACACGATATGGCATAAATGCAACTGGACGTGAATAACCATGTTCATCAACAGTTGATCCAATTGCAGGTGGTTCAATAATAACATCATAAATCATACCACCACAAACAAAAAAATATGATACTAATATTAAACTAAAAACAGTCATTGATGATGGTAAACATAACCATAATGGTTTTTTTAATTTAATATTCGGTACAATAAGTATATTGAATGGTAATCCAACAATTGTTTCGGCAATAGTATCCATTTTATTAAATTTTGTTTTAACAAAATTCACTTAAAATACACGTAATATTCTCAATATTGATATATCAATCACACAAAAAAAAGTAGGCTCTTCAAAATTGGAGAATACCCTCCAAATCTGGGAGCATGCAAAAATTTTCAATTTTGGAGAGCATTCTCCAAAATTGAAAACCAACAATCGCATGCAGCGAATAATCGATTGTTGCAGGTTCTCCCCCTTTTATTGCAATGGCCCCCATATTAATTTAATTACACATAAATTTAAATTTAATTATAATTTTATTGATAATTAAAAAATTTGAATCATAAAAATCATTAATATTTAACATCCCACGTTGATCCATTCTTGTCCAGTTCCAAATCGATCCAAAATTGAATATTCGATGTCCAGCGATCCGATTCATGTTTCAAAACTCAATGTCCATATTTGATCCATGAATTTGAATATTTGAATCCCATCATTCTCAGNGCCCCCATATTAATTTAATTACACATAAATTTAAATTTAATTATAATTTTATTGATAATTAAAAAATTTGAATCATAAAAATCATTAATATTTAACATCCCACGTTGATCCATTCTTGTCCAGTTCCAAATCGATCCAAAATTGAATATTCGATGTCCAGCGATCCGATTCATGTTTCAAAACTCAATGTCCATATTTGATCCATGAATTTGAATATTTGAATCCCATCATTCTCAGCGGTGATCTTGAATTTAAAAGAATATTAGTTGATAGTTTCGATCATTGGATTCAACAACTTACCATCATTAACTGCAAGTATCCATTCCAGTTTGAAAATATTCGAATGATATCATAATTTTCGATCGTTTTTTGGTTCTAAAGTCTCATCAGGCATCGAATTCAATAGGAAATAGCTCAGACCATGTTTCCTAATTCTAATCTAACCTAGCCTNCATAAAATTGAATATTTGAATCCCATCATTCTCAGCGGTGATCTTGAATTTAAAAGAATATTAGTTGATAGTTTCGATCATTGGATTCAACAACTTACCATCATTAACTGCAAGTATCCATTCCAGTTTGAAAATATTCGAATGATATCATAATTTTCGATCGTTTTTTGGTTCTAAAGTCTCATCAGGCATCGAATTCAATAGGAAATAGCTCAGACCATGTTTCCTAATTCTAATCTAACCTAGCCTAGCCTATTGTTTAACATTGTCAAACTATTCTTGAATCAGATGCCGATGAACAATGGAATCGCCAAATCGATCGGGAACATGATAATCATTCGAATATTGTTTCGACATTCATTAGCAAAANAACTTACCATCATTAACTGCAAGTATCCATTCCAGTTTGAAAATATTCGAATGATATCATAATTTTCGATCGTTTTTTGGTTCTAAAGTCTCATCAGGCATCGAATTCAATAGGAAATAGCTCAGACCATGTTTCCTAATTCTAATCTAACCTAGCCTAGCCTATTGTTTAACATTGTCAAACTATTCTTGAATCAGATGCCGATGAACAATGGAATCGCCAAATCGATCGGGAACATGATAATCATTCGAATATTGTTTCGACATTCATTAGCAAAATTTTGAACTAAAGTGGAAGAATTATGGATTAGATTGTAAAGTTACTTTGAAGTTACCTTATTTGAAGTCCATCGATCCAATCAGTAGTTTTATTTTGGACCATGTATTTTTCTTACCAATTATCCAGTCTTTTGCCATGTCGAATGATATGCTAAGACGAAGAAAAATTGTCATTTTCATGTTACTCAAAATGGTAATATTACCTTTATTAATTTACTGGAAATGTTAATTAGCACCATAATGAAACTGAAAAAATAAACTGGAAAAGATGTGATTAAATGAAAATTTATTTAAAATGAAATATCATTTGATAATTACAAACTTGAATAAATGACATCGAGAAACTGATCATTTTTCGTCAATTGCATCACAACTCGTCCAAACAATTTTCATCAATTTGGT